TTTGTCAATGAAGAAATTACATTTATAAATATTTGTATGTGATAAGATTTACTCGTGGTATGTTTTTGTAGTTCAGCGCTGTATGTGTTAAGGTGGAGATAGATCATATCTGAAATTATTGTCGAGACTTTACGATTCTAGCAACATAGAAACAGACTTCATTGATATACCAGTATGTGCAGTGGTATATAAATCTCTCCTCAAATACATACCAGATATGAAAATTAATAAAGTTGCCAAAAAATAAAATGACAAAACATCTGACTCAAGCAGCGCCTCTTAGATACTATACAATTGTAAACAACGCGATTTTAGCGTCGAAGACAATCTACACAAATAACGACCTTTCTTCCAATTACAGTTGCCAAAAAAATAAGATTACAGAAAATCAATTCCAAGAAACCACTGGTAAAGCAGGTTGCTATTAAGGCAAAATCGGTTCTTTCACGTGTACGCCAACGTCTACATGGGACCTCGGATTTGTGTCCTATTCGAAAGACTAGCCATTGTTCCTTGCCAGGCTTTCTGTCCTGTCCCACTGACAAGGTGAAGCTGTGCTGAAAAATTCCAAGGAACATTCTGTGCCTACACCGTGGTCGAACCTTGGACACAGTGTTTACCGAATCAGTTCAGTAAGGGGGACAGTTTGTAAACATAAATTATATGCCCACATTTAAAATGTTTTGACCATTATCCACGAAGATGTTTATTGATTTTCACCGATATTCAATAATTACTGCCAGTTCTTCCCGCTTTATTGCGCTTGATCACTCTGAAATATCTTGTGGTCTCTTTAGTGGCTAAAGTTATCATCATCTAATTAAGCATTCAGAAGGCGAAGAAGACTCAATTTTCATCAATTTCTAATAATTTCAATCGGTTCGTGGACATCTTAGTGACAAAGGTTATAACTCAATTAAATTGTCTATTTAAACACTGTCTTATGCTGAGATGAAGAAAAGTATTGATTTTCAACGATTTTTCTAATTATTTAATAAAGTTATTTCCCTTGGTCATTTTAAAAAATTCTTGTAGATATGGAATGGAGAACCATATTGATTTTCAACGATTTTTGTTAATTACTTTCAAAGTTATTCCCCTTGATCACTTTGCAAATTCCTGTAGAATCATTAGAGTTATTGCCCTTTGTCACTTTGATCTTTATGCCGTTCTCCAGACTTGAATGGTATAGCTCAATTGACGAAGAAGTTTACTGATTTTCGATACTTATAATCAGCGTTATTGCCCTTGTTTAATTTTTAAAAAAAACTGATTTCAAATTACTGGAGGCGGCCCTGACTTTGAATGATATTTCAAAACTATTTATAATTGACAACAGGAAAATATACAGAATTCAAAATTTACAAAAAAATATACCTGGTGAAATGAAATAAAATGGGGTTTAACTTCTTACTGTTCTGATCCGACTGAGCAAATGAAGACGGGCGAAAGCCATACATTGTGCTATGTGGGAAAGTTCGCCCACTCTTATATCAAATTCCAACTGTCAAGGGATATTTTACGTGTACACGGGACCTCGTTTTTTCGAATCCATCCAAACGGCTAGATGCTGTCCCTGCTAGGACCTCCGTCCTGCACCACCGCGTGGGAAAATTCCGAGGAACTTTCTCGTTCAACACCGGGAGCGAACCCGAGACCCCCGGGTTAGCGAGCTAGCGTCTTACTCACTTAGCCGCCGTGGCTCCCATCTAGCAAAGCGCGTTTGGATTGGGCGAAGAACTGATGTGCTGTTAATTTGCACGTAAAAGAAGCGGACAAGTTGGAACTCGATGAAATATAGACGAAAGCGCCTCTGAGTAAACTTTCCCTCATAGAAAACCGTATGACGTATCCCCGTCTTCATTAGTCCGCTTGATTCAGAAAAATAGTGCGTTAAACCTCATTTCATTTCTGACATACACCAGGTCAATATGACGCCATGGTTCTAGCAGACACACAAATGTCAGTGTCACCGTATGTAATTCATGGGTGATATGGTTTTATAAAACAAAGGGGATGTTATATTCTCGAAACCTACTTGTATAGGTAGCACAGTTGATTAAATTCACTTTTATCTGGCAATCTCGTATTCTAGACACCGTGGCACTCAAAACACGGAGACGACACATTTCTTCTTCCAGACACAGCTACCGAGTTTGTTAGGCTACCACGTGTTGTTAATCCCAATTAATGTCTGTAGACAGATTGGTCCGTGGTCTGATTCCAGAATAAGATTAAAGTTAAGTAAATTGAACTGGGTTTTAGATTAATGGAACCACCTTGTTTTTCAGTGATGGATCGAAGTCTCCGGTTCCCTGTTTATTTAGTGATAATTTTGAGTTTATAGTCTGGAGATGGTTGAACTTCTGACTCCAGCAGGAATCTACAAAAACTACGATTTATTTGATTGAAATTTTCATGAAAAATAAATTATAGGAAGTTTTTGCATGTATTTGTTAGCGCTTGGTCTTTTAGATTCCGTTTTCACAATCTCCTATTAAACTAGCAGGCTGCATATAGTCCAGATTTGAGATGTATTTGTTAGCAAGTGGTCTTTTAGATTCAGTTTTCACAATTTTCCATCGAACTAGTATGGCTGCATATAATTAATATTCCATAGTCCAAATGTGAGATATTTTCTATAACTACAGAGAGCCCCTGGGTTCTTAATCCCCGAATTCAACCGTCGACCCCTCACATTTAAAGATATATTCCCTTAATACTTAGACCATTTTTACTTGTAATACAGAGGCAGGCCCGTAACTACAGCACCCCCAGAGAACACTTCCCGCCCCCTCGTTGCTCTGAGCAAGTTACGGACTTGTACATAGGGATTATTTCTGGATATATATTCAAAATTTATAGAAATAATTTGTCTTCCCCTTAAATATTTGTTAGTATTTAGTGATCAAGGGAGGTAATTGGAACAGTGAGACATTGACAATCACATTTGTCGTATATTTCTTTGCATGTTTCCATGAATTGACTCTTTTTTTTATATATTATTGAAGACTATGTTAGTTTTTCACAATAATTAGGTAGTATGTGGTAGTATTTGGTGGTATTGGGTGAGTATTGGGTGGTATAGGTAGTATTGGATAATATTTAGCAAATTGTCCTACCCGTATCATTAAGTGGCCAGCAATTTATATCGAATACATTCATACACTATATATGCTACGACGTTTCGACAAATTTTGTCTTATCGTTGTGAGTAAGACGTTGGCTCTCTGACCTAGAGGTCTAGTGTTCGATTCCGGTGTTGGCCGAGAAAGTTCATCGGGATTTTCCGGTGTGGTACCCCCTTGTCAGAGGTACAAGTAAGAAGACCTGGAAAGGGACATCGTATTGGCGTGCATAAAAGGAACAGTTGGATTTCGAAATAAGAGTATGCCGTAGCACCGCTATCGGGGCAAAATTTCCCGCAATGCACACTGCATGGGGTACACCCGTCTTCAAAAGTCCAGTCGGTACAGTACAGTAGGAAATAAAACTCCATTTCATTTCTATCTTTTTTTTCACAGGAGTTATACAATACGACCAATGACCATCACACCTATATTATATAATATGGTCTATATACACACCTTACTTATATATGTTAACACAGAGCACGTGTAGGTATTTTACCTAATGTATACTTACATATGTTATAAATGATTTCAAGATATTGCAACAAAACTTGCTTATTCTTTCAGATATTCGGCATTTTAGCTAGAATAAATACTGTTGTATGGTTATTGCTGATACATTGGATCCACAATATCATTCGTTATTCCGTTAATAAGAACCGGGTAGATAAGTTGATATATGTATTATAGAACTTTGAATAAAGTGGGGGTTGGGTGACCGCGTGGTCTAAGGTGTGCGCTTTAGATCATAAGGTCTGTCCAGGGGCGCCGGAACGGCGCGAGGACCAGGGTACCAAAAGATAGGGGGAGGGAAAGGGTCTCTCCCCCTCGGCCTCTAGAAAATTTTGAAATTTGTCAATTCCGAGAACCCTGTTTAGAGCGCCTCTAGCATTTCAAATTTGAACATAAAACCCTTTAAAATACATGATAATGAAGGAGACAAAAGCCTGATTAATCACAAATGAATAGACTAGTAAAAAGGTTGAAAACTTTTATCATTAGGGCATGGGTATACATGTATACCCCAGAAAAGGGCAGGGTACCATTTTTATAACCCTGATACCCGGGTTCCGGCGCCCCTAGGTCTGTTATTAAGTCAAGCCGCTTGATTTCGATTCCCAGCTTCTACTACGTCATCAAGGATAAGAATCGCCTGTCCAACCTTGTGGATTTCCTCCGGTTCCTGCGATTTCCTCCCACTACTAAAGACCCTCACGCGCAAGCCTATTATTGAAATAAAATTTAACTATATGTTAGTCCCAAAACGACCTAGCTTGTGTCAAGATGACGCCCCCCCCCCTTCCCTCTCTCCCTCTCAATCTCTCTTGAATAAAGTAACCAACATTTGTATAATATTAAGCTAAACGTATTATATATGTATAACTGGCTTTAGTGGAATGCCGTTCTATACAAACTTTACCAGATGTTTGGTTTGTTTATAATTATATTGTATGGCCAAATAACCAGGTACAAATCCCTGTAAGCAACCGTAGGTCTCAACCCAATCCTGTGCTATTCATCACGTCGACTGCCTTTTTAATATTTTTAGGGTGTTTCCAATCTCGACACACATTTTTCACTTGATCTTAAAGCAAATTTTCCGCTGTTTGAATGGCGGCGCCTTCCATGGCTTATACAAACAACAAGGCGTTATCCACTATCTCTCTCGATATTTAAAATTACCCAAAAAACACACGGGTTGTATTTTTCTTTAAAAGTTTACAAAGAAATAAGCTTGACGTCGAGTAAACTAATATGAAGATTCTTTATATTCGACAGACGCCAATTAAGTGGCCTTCGCGCTTTTTTGACACGTGCGCACGTGGAGTTGAGTTTGATTGACCGCGTACGTAAAGGTATATATATATATATATGTGTATATATGTGTAGATTACATACATATATAAGTGTTAAGCTGAAGGATACGATAGTGATGTTAGGTTTGTCGAGCAAGTTAGTGTCCATGCATGATGTGATGTGAATTAACTAGAAGGTTTTGACAATTTCTCGTGATTAACAATGCTACACAAGTTATCTAACATAGGAATTTTAATGAGGAATTATTAAAAGTAAGTATTTCAAAATATGATTTTTAATTCTTCTTTTATGTGAATATAAGGTAGCCATATATTCTGAGTCGTTATACGTATAACATATATAAACTTTGTAATATGTTCTGATTTACAAAGAATACTTTAATATTTACAAAGATTTATTAAAACAAGTGTTTCAAACATTGATTTTCAATTGTTCTTAATGTGAATCTAAGTCAACCATATACAAGTATATTCGGAGTCGTTACGAGTTACTATCTTGACAAAATATATAAAGTTTAATTTGTAACATTTTGATATTTTCGAATTCACAAATAATTCTTTACAAAGATTTATTAAAGCAAGTATTTGAAAAATTGATTTTTATTTTTTCTTAATGTGAAACCAAGTTAGGATTATATAAGTTTATTCAGAGTTGTTGAACGAGTTACCGTCTTGACATATATAAACTTTAGAATATCTTAAACTTATAACCTTTTGATGTTTCCTAATTTACAGATAATACTTTGATATTTACAAAGATTCATTAAGTGATATAAAGCCCCAGAAAGCGTATATTATATGCTATGAAATAATATTTAATGTGTTAATAATATATCATATGTTTATTGCATACTATCAATATTTAATGTGTTAATAATATATCATATGTTTATTGCATACTATCAATATTTAATGAAGTTTTATATACTAGAAGGTTAAATATCTAAATATTTATGAATAACTTTCAAATAACATATTGTTAAAGAAAATGAAATGGGTTTAATTTCTTACTTTTCTACATTGACCGGACTTATGACGTACAGTGTGCTATGCTGGAAATTTTGCCCGGACAGTGCAGCTCTTATATCGAATTACAACTGTCAAGGGTTCTTTTTCATGCACGCCAGCATGTACCACCTCGGTAATATGTACACGGTACCTTGGTTTTTCATCCCATCCGTCCTTCACCACCGAAACCCCTCCGGATAATCGAAAGGCATTTTCTCGCCCAACTCCGGAATTCAACCCGAGACCTCCAGGTTAGCAAGACAGAGACTTATTCAATGAACCACCGCGGCTCCCTTACAGTTCAATGAAAATAATCTTGTACATTGTAATGTGAACGACGTCCTAGGAGCAGGATTTCTTTTATTGCTATCCCAGGGTAGAAGACTGTTTATAACTTGTCCATAAACCGTTTCGCTTCAGCGTATAGATCAGATATTTTACATTTTCTGCTCTAAAGCTAAAGAAAACTGATGATTTTAGCTAAACGTGTCACATTTCATTAATTGTGCTACGTCATTGTTAGATGTTTATCAATAAAAGGGATTATTAGTGGGGAAGTATTAAACTTTAAAGGGACATAAACATAATTGGAATATTAAATCACCTGACCTCGTGACCAAAACAGATTTCGATAGCAAGCATGTACTATAAAGCAGCAGATTTTCCGGCGTGATTCCCCCTTGTCAGTGATGCAGAAGTGAGGGCCTGACAAGGACAGTCGTCTAGTCGTTCGGATGGGACGAAAAACCGAGGTCCCGTGTACACATTGGCGTGCACGTAAAAGATCCCTTGACATTTGGAATTCGATACAAGAGTAGGCCGTAGTGCCGCTGTCCGGGCAAAATTTCCCTCATAGCAGACTGTATGGTGTATGCCCGTCTTCATTAGCCCAGTTCGGAGCAGAACAGTAGGACGTTAAACCCCATTTCATTTCATTTCATTTCACTATAAAGCAGAGAGTTCCACAGGGTTTAGTCACCATTGGGGAAGTATTAAACTTTCAAGGGATATAAACATGATTTGCATATTGAATTGCATTACGTCGTCAACAAAACAGATTGTGATATCAAGCATGCACTATAAAGTCGGGTGGGGGGGACGCAGGGTTTTGTCATCGGGCCTTTGCTGTTCTGTTCAGTCATTAATGACTAACTGACATTGCCTAAAACATGCGTTATTTGGGAGAAGACTTGCCAGTATATATTATTTGTGTTTTCTCGATATCACCTTCAAAGGCAGTGGACGCGAAACTTAGATTAACTTAAACTATAATTAGCATCGATATTTACGTACATTAAGGTGACTAATGTTATGCAAATCTAAAAATTACTAGCACACTATATTTAAGTTCTCGTTTTACTTACATTTGTATTGACCTAGCCAGCCCTTGATATCTGACATGACTTGTTGTTTTCTAACTATAAGTAATGTTATCGATTTTACCATCTGATTTTAATCTATGGTATGCAGACTTTAAAAAAAATAGACAAACTTCGTCCTAACTCTGTATAACTATGACAAAGAAAGGATTAACTAAATTGATCTAAGTGCCTATCGTTTACTGTCGCATCATTCCATGTTGGTTAAAGGGTGTATGGCTCTATATTTTGGAACCTTGAAATAAACAAAAATGGTTCTCAAAACACATATTAATGTAATATGAATGTATGTAAAATGATTTATATTCAATTTTTAAAAACAATATTGTAATTTCTAATCAATTATGTTCGGTGAAATACGTGAAACAGTTCAAATTGAACGGCAGTCGTTTACGCCTGCTTAGTGCCTTCTACATGTTGTAGGTTATGTTTTTATTTATTCATTACAAAATGGTACCCGAAACCATAGTGTACACGACGCGTGTACTGATTATAAAATGTTAATTGTGTCTTAAATATTGGATAGTAGGATCCTATAGATAACAACATCAATATTGGTTGAAATTGATCAATACTGAATTCTAATTTCGAATATTATGGAAAATATTGAGTTAGAGACTTAGCTCCTTTAATATTGCTAATGCTAGAGAGATATATCATATTCCTTTTATATGTTATATGTTTTATTCTACTCTTACTGTAAACTAATCCTTTAATATTATCATGTCATTATTGTAGTTTACTTCATGTATAAGGTACCCTTAGACAAATTTGAAAAAAAAACCCAACACCAACTTACAAAGAATAATCTTTAAAGCGGCATTATGTAAGATTTAGATAAAGGACAGGTCGTTCTCGCCATAATATTTGCAACCATAGATAATGTTAAATGAATATATATCAAAAGTTGTGGTTTTGACAAGATGTGTGCATTGATCGTAACCACCGTACTGTTCATTCGAGTCTTAGCCTCACTTCTCCATTTTTAAATTCAATCATTAAATGGCCGAACCGTTCTAATCTACTAAAAATCGGAGAGTTGATTATGATCTTGTCATGTTAATAAATGTCTAATTAATAATTTATATAACATTTAAAGCCCAAGACCTGCAATAGGCAGATTTATGCCTGTTTATGTGTTTTTTAGGGATTGTTAATAAACACAATAACAGAACACCGATTTTACCCTCCCCCTCTCCCCCCCCCCCCTCTTTCTCTGGCTCGACGTGTGTTTAACAAATACCCATAATTGACTTTGGGCTACAACGATACCAAAGGTCATCACAGATTCACTTCATTGAAGGATTGAAGGTCTGGATATGTATAAGATAAACAATGGTGGGAATAACATAAAATTCCTCATGGGCATGTATAAAACAACCCACTCACGCACGAACGCTAGTTAAATAAAACCTCGTATTTGTATGTAGGCCTATAGCCGTGTTTTAAATCTGTCAATCTAAATATAATCTACCTGGCCGTATTTAGACGACTTAATGATAGGTAAGTGGTTGATATTATTATTTAATTCGATCACATTCACTTCCTTGTATCTAATCGACGGCTTGACTATAGTTAAATAAAACCTCGTATTTGTATGTAGGCCTATAGCCGTTTTTTTTATCTGTCAATCTAAATATAATTCACCTGCCCGTATTTAGACAACTTGATGACAGGTAAGTGGTTGATATTATTTAATTCGATCATATTCACTTCCTTGTATTCAATCTACGACTTGACTACCTCATTGATAGCTGTCTCGTTAATAGTTACTTTAGTAACGTAAATTGTAGAAGGCGTAAATTGTATCGGCTCTAGAAGGCAGAGCCGATACAATTTACGCCTTCTATAATTTACGTTACTAAAGTAACTATCTCGCTAACTATGCAGTCTCGGTTCTCTCCCGGGGTTGGCCGAGAAAGTTCTTCGGGATTCTCCAGCGCGGTTTCCTCCTAATTGTCAGTAGTATAGTTATAGGGCGGGGGGCATGGTAAGGACAGTTTGTAGTCGTTCGCATAGGACAAAAAAAACCCGAGTCCCCGTGTACACATTGCCATGCACGAAAAAGAACCCTTGACAGTTTGTATTGGAAATAAAAGTAAGCCATAGCGCCACTGACCGAGCAAAAAGCCCATTATAGCACAGTGCATGGCGTGAGCCCGTTTCCATTAGCCCAGTCGGTGCAGAAAAGTAGGACGTTAATCCCCATTTCATTTACTTTAACCATAGGACGTTAAACCTCATTTCATTTCATTAAAGACTTAATTACAACATCACCCTTTTGGTTGGAATTTAGAACCAGCAATGTTGAGATAATTATGTTGAAACATTTATAAATACAGATAGGAGTATAAAATGTTGATGAGTTGCATATCTTTGATAATTATACACTTCCACAAACATGTAGATACTAATTATACAGCGCTATATTATTATTATTTCACACGTTCTTCTCGATGTATATCATGTCAAAAATGAAAAAAAATATAAATAAAAAATAGTTTTTTTACTGACTTCATCATCTTGTTAATTATATATGGAAATAGTTATCTGTCCTATTTTGAATACGCGATTACATGAAATGAAATGAGAATGAAATGAAATTGGTTTTAACGTCTTACTGTTTTGCTCCTAAACTGGGCTAATGAAGACGGCCATATGCCATACAGTGTGCTATGAGGGAAATTTTGCCCGGGCAGCGGCGCTACGGCCTACTCTTATATCGAATTCCAGCGTCTTACCCACTTAGCCACGTGATCCCCGAATACGCGATTACAGTTATTAATCAACATTAAGGGCGGTTCTAGTCGAGCATTAAGATACCACGATTCCAATACCACGATTCCAATATCACGATTCCAATAA